GACACTTTTTAGCGCGGACCCGACGTCCATATAATTGTAAGTCAATGGGTGCAAAGTAGAATTCTGAGTATACTACACTGGAGGCGGCATCGATAGGCAGTCTCCTCTGTCAAGGTACAAGTAAAAAAATACCACCGCACATAAAAAAAACATTATGGTACCAGTAGAGCTCCTTGCCTATTTCTGCCGCCAAACAATAATGTGTGCTTTGCTGCGTTTCGCTGGTGAAATTACAGGCACATGGGACTTGTCAACTTACGTTTCAGGGTGACGGGCGCAGTGGCAGTGCCCTTCAGATCTTTGCGATTTAAAGCTCTGAGTGGCACAAAAATTGGCCAGCCGTCGTCAGGTAACGCCTTTGCAAAAGGTATCTTCTAAAAATACATTTTTATTATTTTTTAAATAAGTTTATAGAAGCTTCCTAAAATAGTGAAAAAAAATATGTTTAGGCAGAAATCGGGTGATAAATAGTTATATAAAAAAGTAAATTATATACTGCTAGAACCATGAAAAACGTAAAATGGTCCAGCCAGCCTGGCGTCAGAATGGCTGGCCACTTTATTTCTTTAATATTTCCGCTATCGCAGAGGTAGAAAATATGTCAATAAAGGTACTAAATAGTACACACTCAAATAACGCAGACACTCAACATAGCCCCGCACTAGGGAAACCCTGAGTCGCGGGTGCCATGGATACACACATAGACAACCACAAATTACACCCAAACTCACGAGAGAAATAATTGTAGGCCATACAACTATTTCTCCCGGCCCGGGAATCGAACCTGGTACCTCTGCGTGGCAATCCGGCATGGTAACCGTTCGGCCACGGAGGCAGTTAAAAAATAGAAAATAGGTAGTGAATAATGAGCACAGTTTGATTTGTATATCTCGTTTTTTCACGGACACCTGTTTCCTCATGCTCCTACTGGTACGAGCACGAGGTATAACATGTCCAATGCTCCTATCGTGACGTCGTATTATTGTCAAATATCATTTGTCATCAATTTTGACGATGTTTTCCATTAGGGTGCGTTCCCATTATGTCGTAACCTTTTATTTATCGTTGGACGACTGTCGCGTTCAGCCTGTTCCCATATCACGACTATGTGTCGTGGACGTTTATTTTATCGTTAAACGACTGTCGTGTCTAACTGTTCCCACTAGATCATGACGACAATTTATCGGTTCGCGACAACCGCCTTGTAGTTTGCACGACTGAATCGTTTGAAGCTGCGATTATCTGTCGTTACGTTTTTATCGTGACCTTTTATTTATCGTCTGAAGGCTGTCGTTCTAGCTCTTTCCATTGTCACTATAGTCTGTCGTCGTGAACGTTGAGTCCACCAGGATCCGCTAGTCCAATCCCCCAGGGTATCTTTGTGAACTCTAGCAGTTCATTAGAATCCCCTAAGTTAAATGTATGTAAAGTTGCAATCGCATTGCGACAATAAATAATTACTTATTGAACGACAGTTAATCCTGTTGTACTACTATATGTGAACAACTTCATTTAAATATACTGGTCACGACATTTTAAACTGCACGACTATCTGTCCTCACGACATAATGGGAACACGCCCTTCCCGTAATTTGTTGACTGAAGAAAAAGGTTTACTACGTATTGGCGATTAATGTTTCTTTTTTTACAATTTTTTAATTAAAAAAAATTAATATAAATACATGCACTGGTAGATCAATGGCTAGATATGAAAATTTAAAATCTTGTACACATTGGGAAATTCCAAGATTGCAACATGAGGTCTCAAAATGCAATAAACGAAATTCACATAAAATTATTTATTTTGAACACAGTAATATACAAATATTGTACAATCACATTGAGTTATATTTCATATATATTACTATTTACTAAAGTTATTTTACGTAAAACTAAAATGGAAGCGAAAGAAAAATTCTACTCAGGCTGAGCGCCTACGCAATACGTAGTAGCAATCGGACTACATCGGCGCATTGCTCATCGTTTTATGCAGGCGCCTTATTTTTTCGATATATATATGGTTTTTAATAGCGGTGTACCTAAAAACACCTAATTCATACTTCATACGATCACACGACAATAATTTCTAGCAGAATCTTTAGTCAATAATACTTTATCGTCAAGAATTTCCAGGATTTGTAAAGTCTGTTCTAATCCATTGTAGCGAAAAAGTAAACAAATAGATCATAGACAATTTAGTGATGGCCAACTGTACCGCCAATTACAACTCGATAATTAATTGAATCAGTTAGCATAAGTGGGTTTTATTGATAATATAAAAATATGCGATTCAATGCTAAGTGGCGATATTTCATATTTGAGATAAGATTTTTTTTTCTTAATTAAATTTTTATTGAATTGATATTCAATTTTTTTTTTTGTGAAATTACTCCACTAGTTTGTTATAATTATTAATACAAAGATCGAACACTCAGAAAAAAATCCTTCGATCCGGTCGGTTGAATTGAATATCAATTCAATAAAAATTTAATTAATACAGTGAATAGCGACATCTCTCGCCAGGACTGGTAGCTGTAAAGGTACTAACTGGGTGATAAATCTGTAATAGATTTCTCATAGATGGCGCTACGACTAAAAAGTCGTTGAAAGACCAAGTACAAAGACACGACCCAAGCACAGAAAAATTCGTGAGGTCCGTTGGTTCGTTCCGTGGCTTAGTTGGTATAGCGTCTGGCACGGTATGCAAGAAGACGTCGGTTCGAATCCGACCGGATCGAAGGAATTTTTTCTGAGTGTTTTCGATCTTTGTATTAATAATTTTTTTTCTTGTTGTGTATTTTCGAAATCTAATTTTAAATCCTTACACTTAGATATTCGTTCGATTGTGATTAAATTTTCGATTCACTAATCGATTACAAAAACTTTAATTGAATGAACCGAATGAGTTATTTCCGTACAGCACTATGGAAGCATAGATTATTCACAAATCTATATTTCGATTGTGAACTGGCAACCGGTACTATTTCAATTTTCTAAAAATTTCACTTTTTAATACCATTGTATACCATTTCATAATCCGCGTTGCAAGAAATGCCATCTCAGATACATTTAATTTTGGTGGCAGAATCGGCTTCTTTCGACTTGTACTAACTTCTAACCAGGTGCTATATAAATGACGCAAACAATTCTTTTCTTCATCCTTTAAAATTGTCAAAATTTTGATAGTACCGATTGCCAGTTCAGTCGATTTGAGAAATAACTCACTTTTGAACTAACAATAACCAAATAGGATTTTAAGATGTTATTCAAGTGAATATTGCTGGAAAAAGCGATGAGATATTAAGTCGAAATATACGTGAAAGTGTTACGCACTCCATTTATTGAGTGATTGCTTCAGAATTTTAACCAAACTTGTTTGCTTTTCTGGTATAATGTATTGGGAACAGACTACAGAAGGGAATGTCCACATTATTCTTTAGTTAAGCTACATTAACTCTAAGTTCCGATCACTGCTTATTACAGTTCTATCATAGTATAACAAGACTAGCAGCACGGCTCTCCTTATCACATCGAGTATATAACCATAAAATGGAGACGAAATAAGGGCCATCCATCGCTGGCAACTCATTAGGCAAATGGGCCTTATTTTTATTTTGTTATGAGCCTATACTGTCCCACTGCAGAGCAAAGGCCTCCCTCCCCTCTCTCCACACCTCTCTGTTTTGCGCCACTGAGGTCCAGTACTTTACGTGCGCGTCTAGCTCGTCTCTCCATCGACGCTTTGACATGCCGCATGGTCGTCAAATGGGCCTTATATCACTTTTAAATACCAACTATCATTTGCACTGAAATCACAAATTAGAAAGCTGAAATAGTACAGCGCCAACAACTGACCTGTGTGTACGTCTCTGTATATTCCAAAAAATCTGTATTTATTGTAATAAAATCTAATTACAAAACAAACAATCACATAATTCGGGCTGGCTAATCTGAGCGCAGTTGTCACCGTAATGATTTGGCAGAATAGTTTTCAAACAAATTAAATGACATTTCGTCTCTATTTCTGGTTATATACTCGATGCCATATGGTTGGATTCGAACCAACATCTCCTAGCGAACTGTGCCAGATGCTATGCCAACTAAGCCACGGAACGAACAGACAGACCTCACGAATTTTTCCACGATGTTTGTTTTAACAACTTTTTGGCGTAGCGTCATCTGTGAGAAATCTAAGAAAGTATTGTGTTTTAAGTAAATAAATTATAAAATCAATACAAAAAAAAACTATATGTCGACGTGGAATCGCATTCACTAACGTCTAGATGTCTACATCTATTTGTAGACGTCTTGTAGACGTAATAATCTGGAAAAGATCTGTGAGCAACAGTTGAACGTATGTACCAAGTTACTACTGCTTTTTTTCGCAATATTTTAAGGTGTAAATGCAGCCAATCAATAAGAACTTAAAAAAAACTATTTAAAAACCCGTGAGCAGCAGTGGAACGCAAACAAATTCGAGTTATTTGTGGCTATTGTCATTACAAGAAATTGGAAAAAAATATTTCAAGGAAATAATTCTTACATTACTTACGTCCTAAGTACGATACGCTGTTGCGCATGGGTTCTCCAAGGCAGGTTGAGACCCTTAAAGCTTTCGTAATCGGATACGCAAATAGTAATGCTGAACCTATGCACATCAGTGCACTGCTGCTCAGCCAGGAGCTCAAACCGAAGTTCATTAATTTATTCCTCTTAACCTACTTATATAAAAGCTATGTACAGTAGTCGACAGCTAGAAACTGAGGTCTGCGTACAATAGTGTACGACCGTTCAGTTACAGACATAATCTGAAGTTTGTGTATTACCAAGTTTCACTTAAGACACAAAAGCTCCATGTACAGCAGTCGACTGTAGCACTGCTGATCAAGGAGAATGTCTATGTACAACAGTGTACTACACTCAAAGTTTGTTATAAATGTTTCTTATGTGTTTTTTATTCCCCTTGCTTCGCTTATGTCACTAAAGCTCTATGTGCAGCAGGCGGCTGTAGCACTACTGATAACTGAGAAAGTCTATGTTCAAGAGTGCACTAAAGTCCAAAGTTCGTTATAATCACTATATGCATTTCTTTATTTCGTCATTCCTCATGCTCCAGTCGTATAGAAACCTATGGTCAGTGGTGGACTATAACTGATCATTACGAAGGCCTATGTACAACAATGTACTATTGTTCCGCGATGTGCACACTCCAAACTTCATTCCCATTGTCACTTAGTATGTATGTTTCTTCGCCTTCTTCTACTTGTATACTTTGCTCCGCCATCATTTGTTCTTGGTCGATTTGTTCCTGTTCTATTTCTTCCTAAAAACAAATAATTAAAAATTTAAAAATGAAACAAATAACAATGTTGGTGCAGTATTCATTCGAGGTATCGTTTTGTTCCATGAGTTTTAATAATTCAACACATTTTACTTTCATACAAATATTTCATTTAAACCTCGTTTCAATCCATTTTAAACAAAAAGTAAATAAACAAGTCACTGACCCGACCATAGACGGTTTAGTGATTGCCAATTGTAATGCCAACTATAAATCGATTAATTAATTGAATGAATCGATTTGTTTAATTGATTCATGCTAGCGGTTTTCCTTAAATAAAAATAGAGAAAATACATAAGCTGTAAAAGCATATATTTAAAATTTCCGAAATCTCAATTTTAAACCCTTCTTCAAATCCTTACACTTAGATACTCGTTCGAATCCTTACACTTAGATACTCGTTTGAAATTTTCAATTTACTAATCGATTACAAAACCTTAATTGAACGAACAGAATGTTTTTTTTTTTCGTACAGCACTATGCAACCATTGACAAGTAGTAGAAGTATAGATGAAAAATAACCCCACATTTGGACTACCCTTTTTTAAATACGATTTTATAATGCTATTCAAATGAATATTATTGGAAAAAGTGATGAGATAGCAAGTCGAAATCTTCGAAATATACGTGAAAATGTTACTTATTTGATTTATTGAGTGATTGCTTTAGAATTTTAACCATACAGATTTGTTTACTTTTTGTATAAAATGGATTGAAAAGGACTATAAATACATCGCTCTAAACGTTAATAACTCTGTGCAGGACGAGGGTGGAAGTCGTCACGGACGCGACGCTTCCACGTTTGAGCTTATTTACTACCAAATACAGATCCAAAAAGTATCGGATAGTACAACAAAAACTTAAGTTTATTTTTGGTATTTTTTTGTTTTGTAAAAAGTCTACGAAGAAAAGTTGTTGCTGACGGTGGTAGTACTATAGTTCTGTTAAATTGTTAGTGTTATGAATGTCATATGTGATGCTGTAACGTACACGAAACATGCTAAAAGAAAAACCGTTACGGCCCTGGATGTAGTCTATACATTAAGGAGACAAGGAAGAACGTTGTACGGCTTTGGCGGATGAGAATTAAAAAAAATGTAGGTTAATAAAAAAAATTAAAATTTATAATTATTCGTTTTTTGATCGATGATGACCTTATTAAAGCTCTTTTCAGGGCTGCAAAAAAAAGAAGACAAGAGGCTGACCGCAGCGACATATACACAGTCTAACAATATAGAGATGCAACGAATAGTGATTTGGCCGAATACCGAATACTGAAAAAACTGGCCGAATAGGCCGAATACCGAATAGTTGCCGAATATTCGTTGCATCTCTAAACAATACCTTTATTGCAAGTTTACTAGTTAGTTTTACTGCCTCTGTGGCCGAACGGTTACCATGCCGGACTGCCACGCAGAGGTCCCAGGTTCGATTCCCGGGCCGGGAAATATTTGTGTGACCTACATTTGTTTCTCTCGTGAGTTTGGGTGTAATTTGTGGTTGTCTATATGTGTGTCCATGGTACCCGCGACACAGGGTTTCCCTAGTGCGGGGCTATGTTGAGTGTGTGTGTTATTATTATTAACAAGTTACATCGTTTTGATTTTATATTGAAATTTTATTCAACGTGCTGCCATCTTGCAGCCTGTAGCTGAACTACGACGAACGTTTAACATCTGAATCAATTTGATTCGAAAATTTATTAAAATAACACTTTCAGCGGCTTTCATTTTTGCATTCCAAAACTTCTGCGATTTTAGAGAATTTGCACGAAAGAATGACACAACCATACCATACAAAGCGAAAATGGCGGACTGAACTCAGTAGGCCTAGAGAGACCTACTGTAGGCATGCGTCGTATGCTAACCAACCACTTTTTTTTTTAATATATAATAGACACACGCTTGGCCACAATCTCACCTGATGTTAAGCGACGATGTGACCGACGATGGGACGAGTTTGATTAAAAAATGCCTATTCACTCTAGCCTTGAATAGCCCCAAATTGTACTTTTCGGGAAATACAGATGCCGAGCGTGTATTATGTATGATGTAGAGTTTATAGTTATATTCTATAGTTTATGTAGAGATGTACAGCATTCCATTGCTTTGCCGTACGCATCAGAAAGGAGGAAGCAAAGCGCTTAGTGCGAATAGGTGCAATATCAACGACATAAGAATGGAGCGCTCCGGACCTTCTAGTCGACCGAAGGAGGAGCGGTGAGGGCGTATCCGATAGAAAACCCCGAAATGTATCCGATAGAAAACCGACAAGCAGGCTACTTTTCTGCGCTTGTCGAGATTTCTACTGCATTTATTGTTTTGTGGGAATAACTGTCTGGTGTATCAAACTTACTTGTTCTATCATGACCTCGGTCTCCTCAATGGTCTCCTCCACTTCCACTTCAATCCTCTGATCGTCATCAATAGAGTTAGCTTTATCTTCATTCATGATGTTGATTAACTTGTTGTATTCAATCTTTTGTTCTTCGGACATGTTTTGAGGGTTGTGGTTTTTGAGATGGTAGTTCAAGTGCGAGCTTTGTTTGAATCTAAAAAAGAACAATTAACACAAATCAGTATCCTGTCATACAAGTCCAATACTGGGCACGGGTCACCTGTATTGTGTGCTTCAAATAAAAATATCTTTTTCACCTCACTAGCTCGGAAAGACTTTATTTCTCATTACAAAGCTGCGCGCAGAAGGTTTTTGATATACGATTTTGACAATGGACTGCGGTGCACCTAATAAGTCTTTCGATAAAAAACATAACACGTTCAACTACTCGATTTGTCGTACATTATTTATGTAATATAAATCCGTTGGTATATTTTATTCTTATTATTGTTCACATCAAATTGACAACGAATACTCATTTTGTTTATTAAAACCATTGACTTACAATTATATGGACGTCGGGTCTGCGCTAAAAAGTGTCCGAACTTATAGGGCGTTAAAATCGTATACAGAGCGTCATTCACGCTTTAGTCTACGTTTGTTCGACTGACAGCGAAACAAGCAAAATTAGACAGTACTGCGATGACATTACAATTTAAATTCAACGTTTAAGCTTTTTCATATTCCTTTACATGTCACTACGTTTAAATAGGTTGACTTGGGAAATTTTTTTCGTGGTTTTTGTATTAGACCCGTCGTCCATTTATTTGTAAGTCAATGATTAAAACTGATTTGTTATAGTTCAACTGTATTTCTTTCATCTACCAATTTGCTTGCTATAGTGAGGTGAAAAGTTGTGTGTTTCGCTCGGCAGCAAAGTTGTTTTGCGTCTCGTGTCTTGAAACCCTCGCTACACTCAGGATTCTATACTATTCTCAGTTTCAATACAAACACTCGCGTCAAACAACAACTTAACTAATAACTATTTTTAACCGACTTTAAAAAAAAGGGAGTTTATAAATTCGATTGTATGTTTTTTGTATATACAAACATGCATCATCATCATCATCAACCCATTTATATGTTCCACTGCTGGACACGGGTTTCAGACGAGGGTTTAGGCCATAGTCTGCCACGCCGGCCCAATGCGGGTTGGGGACTTCACACGTTTTCCGAGGGTTGTGAACCTTCTTCAACGTGCAGGTTCCTTCACCGAAAAGCTTATGATAAATTTCAAATAAAATTTCGCACATAAATTCCGAGAAACTCAGAGGTGCGAGTCCGGATTCGAACCTACGCCCTTCTGCTTGAGAGGCAGTAGGTCAAACCATTAGGATACGGCTATAATGTACAAACATAAGTTACGCGATAAATTTGTGAACCGCTTTAGATGATATATATATAATTTAATTTAACTGCCTCCGTGGCCAAACGGTTACCATGCCGGACTGCCACGCAGAGGTCCCAGGTTCGATTCCCGGGCCGGGAGAAATAGTAGTATGGCCTACAATTATTTCTCTCGTGAGTTTGGGTGTCATTTGTGGTTGTCTATGTGTGTGTCCATGGCACATGCGACACAGGGTTTCCCTAGTGCAGGGCTTGTTGAGTGTGTGCTTATTATATAATATAGATATTTTAAGGTTACAATTGGATGTAGTTAAGCGAAAAGGATCCAATCCACAAAATTATCAAAAACTGGGTTATATATACCAAACGGTTTCTGAAGTCTAACCTCTTAAATCAGCGAAAAAAATCCAACATATAAACATTAAATATCTCTGGAGTTACATGACATTATAAGTTTTGAAAATAAAACAAGAGTGAGAAACACTTTCAGGGTCGTATTCCAGAACTCTACTCAATGCTCAAGTCAGGATTGCACTGGAAACACAAGCACTGGAAATATGACCCTAATGGCCCTGCCATTAGGGTCGTATTGAGTATGATTTCGAGTGCTTTAAACCATACTCAAATCCTGACTTGAGCATTGACTAGAGTTCTAGAATACGATCCTTAAAGTATCAAACTACTACATCGATTCCTTACTTTCTAAAACTCGTATCTTATAAAGAGTAATTATTCAAAAGATACCAAAACTTTATATTTATTTTAAATTTATTATCAAGGGTGTTAATTTGGATCCATTACTTTAAGAATAGGCAAAAACCAGTGTGTGAATAAGAAGGAAATGCGATGAGAAATCAGCCTGCAAAATTTGTATATACAATCCACTTTTTGCATTTCACTATGAAAGTAAGGTGACGATATCTCGAAAGTGACTGGATGTGCAATGGCTCCTTTTTGTTTAACTACGTCCAATATTGTTCCACGTGCAACTGAGTACATGGAACCACTGGGAATAAAGGTAACAATGTAGCATTAAAAATACCTTTTCTGACATATCCCACATTGAAACGGCGACACGTTAGTGTGTGTTCTCATGTGTTGTTTCAAATGAACAGACTGGCAGAAGGTTTTTGAGCAGACGACGCATCTGTAAGGCTTCACTTTGGTGTGTATTCTGAGGTGTTGATCCAGGCCGGATTTTTGTGTGAACGCCTTGGGGCAGAAAGTGCAGGAGAATGGGCGGTCTCCTGTGTGCATGCGCATGTGTTGCTGGACGCCGCCCTGCGAAGATAATGTTCAATTTAGATAATAAAGTACCTATTCCTATACGATAAATCCAATGAACACTACTTTTTTTTGTTGTTCTTTTTTCCAATTTAGTTTCTTTTGGTTTTTTTTTCACAAAATTCATGAAGCATAATATTCATAAATAATATTGTTTCAATAACATAATGGGCCTAATATATGGAATAAAAGCCCAAAGCTGTGTGATAACAACTTTACTGTGTGAAAGGTTAAAGACGAATGGAGCACGTCACAAATCACATATAAAAAGTGCCTGTTAATAAACTTAAAGCAAACATTTACAACTATGTGAAAATACAGTTTAAACTAATTAAAACTATAGGCGCTGCTGCCTTTCTTTAGCTCCAATGAGGGCCGGTTCTAGTGACCAGGTAGATGGAGTGTGGATCTCATGAGTGGAGTTGCAACAAATATGGCCGTTTACAAAAATAACAGACAATAAAAAAAAACAATAAATACAGTAGGTGTAGTGTTCATTGGAGGCATCGAGTATATAACCAGAAATAGAGACGAAATAAGGGCCATGCATTGACTTACAAATAAATGGACGACGGGTCTAATACAAAAACCACGAAAAAAATGTCCCAAGTCAACCTATTTAAACGTAAATGTAAAGGAATATGAAAAAGCTAAAACGTTGAATTCAAATTGTAATGTCATCGCAGTACTGTCTAATTTTGCTTGCTTCACTGTCAGAAGAAACAAACGAAGACTAAAGCTTGAATGACGCTCTGTATACGATTTTAACGCCCTATAAGTTCGGACACTTTTTAGCGCGAACCCGACGTCCATATAATTGTAAGTCAATGGGGCCATCCATTATTTTAATAGTTTAACTGGACTACATGAGGACATCCGAGACGGACTTTATACACTTAGAATTATATCGAATTGTTGATTGTCCTTAACAAGGTCATTATATGTGCGACACATTCTTGTTATGGGATAGTAAAAAAAAGTGTTGTTTTTAAAAAAAATATTCACGACAAATGCCTGAGGACGCCGATTATATCTAATAATATGAGACGTAAGTTTGACTCGCCTGCTGTGTGAACCGCTTGTGACAGACACTGCATTCAAAAGGCTTCAACTTGATGTGGTCGGTGGCCATGTGGGCTGACAGCTCCTTGTTTGTTTGAAAACCCATACCGCACACCTTCAAGAAAATACAATAATAATTTTTAGTGTACAGTCAAGAGCACATCAAGCTTTACAAACATAACTAAATCCAACTCTATGCCGCTTACGATAAGAACGGTAATACCTAATCCTAGTTAATTTAACCTAATTAATTTCATTAGTTATGCTTTTGTAAATACGACAACTTATAATACTTAAGTACCTTGTTTTCTTATAATTACTTTTTTCCTGTATCTAAATATCATCCTGCTGTCGTAAGTCATTCAATAATTTACATACATAGTACCTTCACGCCTGTCTCCCACAGGGGTAGGGGTTTTAGCCACGAATAGCAAAGGTTTTTATTAAAATTTTAGTATAACTTAGTGCACTAAATAGTAACAGGTTGCCAGCATGTCGCCTACATATAGGACACTATTAAAACCCAGGCCCTCAGTAAGCTTTTACGATTTGCGCCGAATCATGAGCAGCAAATACATTATATGCTTTTCTTTTGCTTCCAGATCAGCATGGAAGAATTTAATAATTTGTGTTACAATATTATCGTTTTTACTGACTAACTGGATGCAGACTGGTAAAGGTTGCCCATCACTAGCTGTAAGTGCAATTTCAGTGCATTTCTAGTCCAACCTTGAACTAGCGAGTTTGATTTTTGGTGAGCTTGGTTCAGTACAAATTTTCAACAGGCGGCATCTATTAGGAGGTTATCTATGATTACGAATAAAACTTCATCTCGACTGATATTAGAATAGAGGTCGAATCAAATTGTTTTGTTTTTCAGAGATTTTCGAAATTTGAATGTAATAATAAAATCGAATTTGATGTTATTATGAAGCAATTACATTTTCACAGATAAGAAATTTGTTCTAACAAAATAGTTTACCTTTACGCTGGTCGTAAGTTGCAGTTTTTGAACACATCATAGAGGGTTTATGATATGTGTGTAGATAAAATAATTTCTTCTAGGTATAGTGGACATTTTTACTGTTTTCACTAAAGTGGTGGGTATAGCTATAATTGGATTGGAGGTTTATATTCCTTCATGTAGAATAGTTTTTGTTGATGTATATTCTAATCTGTAATCTGTTGCTGTACCTTATCCAATAAAATAAATAAACTAACCTCACAGGAATATGGCGATGTGGGTTCTTCTCCATTGCCAAGCAGGGGTTTCTCGCAGACCTGGCACCGCAACCCCTTCCGCCTCCTCGTGTGCTCGTCCCTGAAGTGCACGCTGTAATCGCAACAGGAGAAGAAGATCTGGTGGCATGTGCCGTCTGCCACCAGAGTTGACGGCTGCAGGCACTCGAAGGGGCCTCTGTAGGAAAAATAAGACACTAGTCATTGACTTACAATTATATGGACGTCGGGTCCGCGCTAAAAAGTGTCCGCACTTGTAAGGCGCTAAAATCGTATACAGAGCGCGACACTCCGCTTTAGTCTTCATTTGTTCTACGGACAGCGCGATACTGCGATGACATAACAATTTAAATTTCGAATAGCTTGACTTAGGACATTTTTTTCGTGGTTTTTGTATTAGACCCGTCGTCCATTTATTTGTAAGTCAATGACACTAGTAAAGTAATTTCAGATAAAAAATAATTAAATATCAATTCAATAAAAATTTAAATACAATCAATAGCGACATCTCTGGCCAGGGCTAGTAGCTGTAAAGGTATCTAACTGGGTGACGAAATACTTAAGATTTCTCATAGATGGCGCTACGGCTAAAAAGTCGTAGGGAAAATAACCAAATACAAAGACACGACAACAAACACAGACGAATTCGTGAGGTCCGTTGGTTCGTTCCGTGGCTTAGTTGGTATAGCGTTTGGCAAGGTATGCTAGAAGACGTCGGTTCAAATCCGGCCGGATCGAAGGAATTTTTTCTGAGTGTTCGATCTTTGTATTATAACAAACTAGTGGAGTCATTTCACATAAAAAATAATGGAATATCAATTGAATAAAAATTGAAATAAAACGTTTACTCAACGATATCTATGTACTAGGGTACTAGATGCGGCGTTCAATACGCACGCTGTGTTTCACTGATGTGCGGTGAAGACACAACACTTCAATATCATAGATTAATAAGTAACAGAATGTTCTGACTACTCTATAACAGAGTATGGACAACACGAATAAAATAGTTACTATGGTTATCATAATATAATTTTTTTTAATATGAAAAAAGACAAGGCTGCATGGTCTAAACATATTTTCCTTTCCGCTAGGAAGAGTACATAACATAACATCAATAATTTCAATAACTCGATTGTATTTTTTTTTTGTTTTACTTAATTTGTTTTTCTTTTAATAATATAATAATTATAATAAAAAGCGGATGGCCCCTGTGTCAAAGCAAAATGAAACGTATTGTGTAAGAAATAGTAAATAAATAAAAATTATTTAAAAAATAAAAGTTCAATTGGGGCGACAATGAAATCGAAATTGAATTAATAATTAATACCTACAGTTAAGAACTAAAATAATATAATCAGAATTAAAAAGACAACAAAAGGTTATAAAAATAAAATAAAATAAAAGAAACTATTTTCCCGGGTTTAAATCGCGTATATTTGTTTTTTTCAAACAAACCGTGACCTTTTTTTTTACAGATGTAAAGGGCCCGACACGTTGGTTTGTTTGAAAAAACAAATATTCGCATTTTAAATCCGGAAAACTAGTTACATTTACTGTAAAATAAAATAAAATTAAATAAAAGCCAAAATTCTTATTAAAATTACACGTAAATAGTTTAATTTAATAATTTTAATATTCACGTTAATTCCCCAACTATGGATAAGTATAATTGGTAAACACTCAATATTATCTGCCTGCCCAGCTCATTCCCAATAGGTATAGACCAGGGGTCGGCAACCTGCGATTCTTTAGTTCCACACGCAAGCGTTCTCTTGCATGGATATAATAAAAAGTAAGTAAGAAGCGAATTAATAAATGAAATCTAGTCGTGTTTGAAACTTAAAACAACTAGTTATGAGCCAAATTTATCCAAACTTTCAAAAGGCTCTTGCAAAACCACGCTGCATTGATTCACTACCCAATTCTCTAGTAATATTATTAAATTATTTTAATTTTCTAAGCTGTTGTGACAAAAATACTATGTATGAATAAATAGATATTATTTCTTATTTTCAAGTGTTTTATTTTAAACCAAATACCTTTATATAAGCAAGTACTATAATATTGGCAAGAAAAATTTAAGTGGATCTTTTAAAACTGTAAAATTTTGTAAATTTTAATTTTTGACTCTTCCAACTCAAAACGTTGCCGACCTCTGGTATAGACTGCCATGTCTGTCCACGGTACTACGGTACTGATACTCTTTGACAAAACCCAACACTAAAGCAAAATACGGTCACTGTTGATAGGGTTTTAGTTGGCACATGTAGTTGCTGTGAATTGTCTATAGACTAAAGTGAATTGCATTTGCTATGACAAATTATCGAGCGCTGTTAGTTGCGTAGAAACATCAGTCATATATCGCACTAACATTGCAATAGTGTTGTAAGTCAAAATATATGAACTTCAGGATTAAATCATTGCTGAATCCGAAATTTGATTCTCTACACGTTAAAAAACCGTCGATAGAATATTGTAGGAAACAATTAAAAGATATATACTTACCTCAAAATGAGACAAACTGCATGTATGCTAGTTCTGGCCAAAACATTAAGTCCTCGCTCAAAAATATGAAAACATTTATTCCCTTTCATTTTTAAAGAATTGGACCAGTAGGAAATTGTCTACATGTCAATAAAAAACTTTACCCTATACATAAATTTTAATGATCTTTCACGTGAAGTTTCAAAGTGAGTATTCGTTATTCGTCGATTCTGAAAAAATATACTTTTTGCGTTAATACACTATTGTATTAACAGTGCGATATCTTGAATCCATACAGCGGCATGTATCTATGATTTTATTTTCAAAAGTACGCACATTTTTTATTAAGGCTTTCCGGCCTCGTGTCGGCTAGAAAAGTTTATTCGTTAATTATTTTTTATTATTTATTAACCGACTTCAAAAAGGAGAAAGTTCTCAAGTCGTCTGTATTTTATTAATTAATTATATTAGTGAATTTGAGGATTTTGATGGTTCTTTTTTGTTGGAAAGAGGGTACCTCAATATTATTCCAATTTCAATTTGAAGAAAATACTCCACCTATGATGGGATGAATCAGGTTTCGCGCACTTTCCGGTAACCGATTTCAATAAAACTTGGCAAATAGATGTAATTCCACGAACTGTTGTAGTCGTTTTTTTACTTTATAAAAAAGTTATATCACGTTTTTATCGAATTGATATTCAAATATTTTTTTTTATAATAGTTTGTTATAATTATTAATACAAAGATCGAACACTCAGAAAAAATTCCTTCGATCCGACCGGATTCGAACCGACGTCTTCTAGCTTACCGTGGCAGACGCTATACCAACTAAGCCACGGAACGAACCAGCGGACCTCACGAATTTTTCTATGTGCTTGTTGTCGTGTTTTTGTATTTGGTTTTTCCACGACTTTTTAGTCGTAGCGCCATCTATGAGAAATCTATGAAAGTTTCATCACCCAGTTAGCCTTTCCAGCTACCAGACCTGGCGAGAGATGTCGCAGTTTACTGTATTTTCATTTTTTATTGAATTGATATTCAATTATTTTTGTGAAATTACTCCACTAGTTTGTTATAATTATTAATACGGTTCGTTCCGTGGCTTAGTTGGTATAGCGTCTGGCACGGTATGCTAGAAGACGTCGGCTCGAATCCGGCCGGATCGAAGGAATTTTTTCTGAGTGTTGGATCTTTATATTAACAATTATAAAAAAGTTATAATTATTTGATTTATTGGAAGAAATAGAACAAGAACAAATCGACCAAGACCAAACGATGGCATACCTCAGTATTGGGCCCATTTTTTAATGAAAATATCTGTACTGTACTGCAAATATCAGTACTGCCCTCGTAACGAAGAAAGGTACAACTGTGCGCACTTTATACAGCAAATGTGCGTTTTTTCGTTCCGATGTCAGAGTAGGCCACACCGCGAACGAAGGTAGCTTACTTAGTTTAGCTCACGTAGTTGCACGCTAAGCCAACCTAAAAAAATACGTAGTAATGAGTATGGACAGAGGCGGAAGTGACAGGCGGAAGAAGGGCGACATCTTTTACATAGCTACCGAGATCATTGTGGCAGTTTAGTTAGCTCGGTTAGCTTAATTCGCGGTGTGAACCGAAGTATCAAAAGACGCTCCGGCTACATGAGCTAAGCCAAGTTAGATCAGCTTCGTTCGCGGTGTGGCCTGCGCATAAGGCTGGCAAACTAGGAGATGAATCCGGTTTCGCGCACTTTCCGGTAACCAATTTTTATAAAACTTGGCAAATACATGTAACTCCACGAACTTTTGAGGTCGGCCTTTTTTTATATAAAAAAGATGATTTTATCATTGACTTACAATTATATGGACGTCGGGTCCGCACTAAAAAGTGTCCGAACTTATAGGGCGTTAAAATCGTATACAGAGCGTCATTCACGCTCTAGTCTTCGTTTGTTCGACTGACAGCGAAGCAAGCAAAATTAGACAGTACTGCGATGACATTACAATTTAAATTCAACGTTTTAGCTTTTTCATATTCCTTGACATGTCACTACGTTTAAATAGGTTGACTTGGGACATTTTTTTCGTGGTTTTTGTATTAGACCCGTCGTCCATTTATTTGTAAGTCAATGGATTTTGTCTTATGATGTACTGAATTGACTCAAACTCGTGTGTTAAAGCACAAAAATATTGAAATGCGAAAAATGGGTTGTATATACAAATGATGCAGGAAGATTTAACATCACATACCTGTCATATTTAAACACTGGCCTATTCTTAAAGTAATGAATCTAAATTAACACCCTTGATAAGTTATCACTATTTATAAGATACGAGTTTGAGAGAGTAAGATATCGATTTTGTGTTCACTCACGTGATTGGCTGCGGTTCCTTTACTTCTCTATCGCGTTTTGGTGCCACCTTTTCTGCTCTATCTGTCTCTATCTTTTCAGCTTTTCTTTTTCTTTCCTTCGGTATGCTGTCCGCCTGGTTTCCAAGAATAAAACGTAAATTAAAAACTACTTAACTACAAAAATTCAATTGTTTGTCATTAACCTTGCAGTTTCAGTCAAAATCGTACCTTAAATCCAACACCATAAGGATTTTTATCAAACGTACAGACTTTATTTGGCGACGATGATAAATTCGATACATATATTTTTGTAATACAAGGGACGGGACGAACAAGTCGTGCATCTGGTGAGAAGCGACACGCATATTGACGACACCCGTGGCCAATCGGAGCTCAGTTAACACCGTAATGATTTGGCAGAATAGCTTTCAAACAAATTAAATGTCATTTCGTCTCTATTTCTAGTTATAAACTCGATGGCGACACGCCTATCATTGACAGTGCCACTCAAAGCTTGAAATCGCAAAGATCTGAGGGGCACTGCCACAGCGCCTGTCACCATGAGACATAAGTTGACAAGTCCCATGTGCCTGTAACTTCACCAACACCTTTATCCTTCAAAATTGGAACAGAGTAATGCTGCTTGGCGGCAGTACTTCCCTGGACGAGCCCTTTCACAAATAGATATACATATTGCTATTTTGTTTAAATGACTATTGTACTACAGAACCAATATTAAAATTTGATTTTATCGGTATTGTGCCAAAATTAAGTGTAAATAAATTATCGTTCGCTTAAAAACGAAGCGTTGTTTTTGATTTAGATTTCGTATGGACAGTTGATTTTTTTTCTAGATCTATTTAAACTTCAGAAACAGTCTGAAACATGCGTAAAAGGCTTATCTAATATCATTAAATACCTTAATAATGATGTAGCTGACATCCTCGTTAGCGAGGGTCATGAGGTCAGCAGGCTGCATCGAAGAGATCAGCTCCTCGGTCTTTATCTTCATCAGCCTGTCGGACGGCTCAAGCTTCACGGTGTGTTTGTTTGTGTACGCGCCCTGATTTGGTTGCTGCGAACAATAATTATTACGCAAACCGTAATAATTATAGTTACACGATTCACGTATATTTGTTTTTCTTTTTCAAACAAACCAACGTTTCTGGCCCTATAAGGTGCTTTTTCACCAGTGAGGCGAGGCGAGACGATAAATTAAAACCTCGCGTGTCTATTTCCACCAAAAACTGCCATTAATAGCTCACGCGAGCTGTCTTCGCTATGATTGTGGATAGTGAAGATTCGTAGCTGTTCAGTTCATCTAGCGATAAATGCGAGGATGAGGTAACATGTCTCGTAAATAATTATTACACTATATCGCACTGCTATTACAATAGTGTTGTAACTCAAAATATGTGAAATTTAATATTATATCACTACTAAACGTAAAATTTGATTCTCTCTACACGTCAAAAAGTCAGTCATTACAATATTCTAAGAACTACTTAACTCAAAATGAGACACTCTTTATGTGAGCTGGTTCTGGCCAAAATAATCCTTAATCAAAAATATGAATTTTTTCCATTTTATTTTTAAATATATTTGGGAAATTGTTTAAGTGTCTATAATAAACTTTAACATATACATAAATTTTAATGATTTTTTGCGGGAAATAATTAGTTTTTCATCGATTCGATATGTTAACGGAAAAATAATTCTATGAAACAATCTTTTTTTTAAATCTCAAATAGTACGCACCCAACAATCTCGCGATTGATATTAGCAGCCATTGCACGAGAAATCATGTTTCCATTGCAGAGTATAATACTCTATGTAGGCAGCAATACGGTTCAATATTACATCAACAAATATTTCAATTCCCGCCACGTCCATCCTCGTTAATCCAAATCAGAGGCGGCTCGTGGAAGATTCCAGTGGGAGTTCGTTTACCTATACGTATTTTAAATTAAAAATAATGCTCACATTACATTGTTCCATTTTAAACAATGCCACTGAACAACACTACGCTTCATGATTTAATAATATTGATTTTTACGAAATATCATTATTTACAACACAACAAAATGCGCGCGGAGAAAAAACGATTTGTTTATTTGACAAATAAAACTGGCAACAGCGTACGGAGGCGGAGTGCAGAATCAGCTAGTCGTGGCATCAGGCGTGCACGGCACGGCAACGTCGTGTATCTTGCTAATTTTCTCATACTAATCTTTTGTTTCACATGCCGTAAAGAAATTTCTCTTTCGCACTTATTGAATTTGGTAGGTACTAAACTTTGTAAACAACTTCGGTTCATAGGAGGGCATCGCCGAGCGCTCCACTCAAGGGTCAGTAAACCAATACTATAAAAGAGAAATAAAAATCTAATTGGAGTTTGTCGTTCATTAATAAAAAAAGGAAATGACAAATACAATAATAATAAATCAATAATTTTATTTTGGTAGGTGGGATAAGAGTGGGAGTTCACTGCGTCTGCGCTCCTTTGGACGAGCCGCCTCTGAATCAGACCATTTCCACCGAAGACGGGCTAGGGCTATACAAATGTCAATCTGCGTCGTAGACCCCCAAAACAAAGGGCCCGAAACGTTGGTTTGTTTGAAATACGTGATGTAGATCCGAAAAAAAAATACTTTTATTTCCTAAATTAAAGTTATTTCAAAATATTTCCGCTGTCAATTGGGCAGAGTTAGTCGTTTTTCTTAACCGACTTCAAAAAAGGCAGAAGTTCTAAATTTGTCTGTATTTTGTGTTACGCGATGACTCCGTTTTATGTGAACCGATTTCGATGTTCCTTTTTTTATTGTAAAGAGGCTACTGCAATAGTGGTTCCATTCTAATTTGAAGAAAATATTTTTTTTATGATATTAAGTGACAAACAAGTCGTGCGCCTGATGTTAAGCTACACGCCTGTCCATAACAATTGCAGTGTCCTCAAAGCTTTAAATCGCAAAGATCTGAGAGGCATTGCCACGGCGTGCGTCACCCTGAGACATAAGTTGACAAGTCCCATGTGCCTGCAATTTCACCAGCACCCTTACCCTTCCAAAGCAACGCTCGCATTACTGCTTGGCGGCAGAAATAGGTAAGGTGGCAGTACTTCCCTGGACGAATTCTTTCAGAAGGACCTCTACAGCTCTAAACTACAACTTAGGACGTGAACCTGGTTTATTGGATTTCAGACACTTTTCGTTAACCGAAGTCAATAAAAACCGTGGTGAGTAGACGTAATTCCAGAAACTTGTGAGGTCTGTTTTTTTGTTAAAAAGTTATAATTATTATGATATCAAATCGCGCGCCTGTGGTAAGCGACACGCTTATCAATAACAGTTGCAGTGCCACTTTACGTAAGAATTCGTCTAGGGAAGTACTGCCACCTTAACTATTTCTGCCGCCAAGCAGTACTGCGAGCGTTACTTTGGAAGGGTAAGGGTGTTGGTGAAATTACAAGCACATGGGCCTTGTCAACTTATGTCTCAGGGTGTCAAGCGTAGTGGAGTGCCACCTTTGACTGCGATCTTCGCGATTTAAAGCTCTGAGTGGTGCTGCAACTCTCGTCTCGTTACTTCATATTATTTAAAAAAATAAAATCTTTAAACCGCAAAGACCTGTCTGAGAGGCGTTCATTACCACTGCGGCCGTCACCCTGAGACATAGTTGACAAGTCCCATGTGCCGGTAGTTTTATAAAATTTTACCGGCACCCATGCTCACACTACTGATTGGCGGCAGAAATACGCATGGTGGCAATTTTTCCCTGTATAGAAATCGGCAAACATCTTGAACGACCTTGAATGCATAGAAATGCATTTTGGATCTCTTTGGCGGTGGGGTGCGGGTACCGACGGCGGGGGGCCTCGTATCGAGCGCGCGATTGGTAGATCAGTCGACCCTTGCTTCCCGCACTTCCAGATACAATCGCGAGCATTAAGGTATACATTTTTAGAATAGAATCGAAACCATTTATTGCAACGCCACATTATAAAAATGACACACAAACTCGCGAGAGAAATAAATGTAGGCCATACACATACTTCTCCCAAGCTGGGAATCGAACCCAGGCCCTCTGCGTGGCAGTGGTAACTAGTGGTAAATAGGAGGCAAATAAAACAGAAATAACACAAAAAACATTTCAACAACAATTTACATAATACTATATGTGTGCGACTGTAGCGTGTACAAAGGATCCCATTCCGCTAAAGTCGCAACCAAGACAAGGCTGTGACACTGGTTTTCAATGGACCCTAGCCGAGTGACAGACGTGTGAGTTTAACAACTCCCAGAAGGACCAAAAATAACCTTTTTATTAAAAAAAACGACCTCAGGAGTTCGCTCATCAGCTTTTCTATTGGAATTATATCTATCTGCCAAGTTTTACTGAAATCAGTTAACGGAAGTGCACGAAACCGGATTCATCCCCCAGTTTGCTACCCTTAAAGGTGAAATATTTTCTTTAAATTTAAATGGGACCAATACTGAGATACCCTCTTTCCAACAAAAAAAAAATCAAAATCGATTTACAAATAATTGTAATTGTGTAAAAAAAGAGTAATTGTGTAACATATATAAAAAAATACAGTCGAATTGAAAACCTCCTCCTTTTTGAAGTCAGTTAAAAATAAAAAAGATGTTAATACACGTACACTTTCATATAAAATACGAAAGTGTACGGGCGCCGACTTTTCCCCTACACCTCTTTTTGTTCAAGATGTTTACCGATTTCTATACGAATTTTTTTTTATATTATTATTGACATTCCTGATAAATTTTATTCTTGTGTAATTTCTTGGGAAGTTGGAAGTTTTCTTTGCAAACTTGCGCATGTGACAGACGTGTCGGGACAGACATGACTCACTTGATAGAAAAGTACTGGGGATCTACCCCCTCAAATAGCGAAAAAATATCAGCTGTTCCATACTTAATTCACAATCAAAAGTTCGTCTGTTGGTTACTAATTTCCCTAAATTTCGAATAATACAAAGAGTTGTAACGTACACACACACTCAACATAGCCCTGCACTAGGGAAACCCTGAGTCGCGGGTGCCATGGACACACACACACATAGACAACCACAAATTACACCCAAACTCTTTGTAATCGGAACAATAGTTGATTTAACTCACAAATTAGAAAGATATAGAAGGAATCTGGTTCTCCTTCTCGCTCAGAAACCCATCTCATTTCGAGACTATCCGATCGGATCTATTCTGATTTGAATTAAAATCAGGACGCAGGTTGTGTCTGTGCAAGTACTCAGTGTTATTATTATTACGTTGCACTACTAGGCAAGAGTCTCCACCCAGAATTTGATTCGGCGGTCGATTGGGTTTTAACCCATCTATGGCTACAAGTCGAATTAGCAATGTTCAGTACAGAACATAAAAGCTTAGTTCAATTTTAGTTTACTTGTATAATAATATTAATATGAATAAAATAGTAAATATTTTTAGTCTTATTGTAGCAACACTGGTAATTTTTGTTGTGGTCAACACCGGTGGCCATTTCTCTCTCTTCCAAAATTTGTACAAGTGTAACGAACATTTTATTTATATATAATAAAACACATTATTTTAAAATTTCTTAGCCTTTTATTCAACAAGCAAGTCGACGAAATTTCTTTGTATGTTAAAGATCTTTGTACGTTTTCCGTCTTTCAACGCCGCAAGCGACATCTTGTGAAAGATTTATGAACTTTCTCACTCATCCGGTGCCTTTACAGCTACCACAAGCAGACGTTGATGTCGGTTTATCAAATGCATTTTTTTTTTCAATTCCACGACGTTTTACCATTTTTATTTTATGTTAATTTTATTTAGAGCCAAGTCCAAACTCAGGGTACCACGATTTCGTTTAACCAAGGAAAATGACTCTTTTATGGGGAAGTGTATACGTTTTTACAATAAGATTCTGGAGCATATATTAAGAGTATCATTTCCTAAATTAAAAAAACTACATTAAAAATTGAAAAGTCATATTACAAAATTGAAGACTACGTGTTAGAGATGTACGGACAGTCGACACGGCTCTAGATTCCACACAAATTTCATTTAAAGTTTATTTGAAAAGAGCATTCATTCCCTAGAGCTTCTTGCTCGTTCTTCTCAGGGAAGTCAAGTGAACGAGCAGTAGCTGAAAGTGACGTTCTCAAGTATACATTTATTTTACCTATGAAATAATGATTCTTTGACTGACTTCAACATAATCAAAGTATACTGTTGGCCTTTTGTAATTTTCTAAAACATACCTTATCCTGTGTCCACGTGTCTGGATCTCCCGTAGCGAAGGCATCTATATGTTCCATGCGAGCGTGGTTGCGTAGAGCAACCTCGCTCGCAAATGCTTTGCTGCATATCTTGCAGGCGACATCGTCTTCATCATCAGATGGGAGTTCTTGCTGTAGGCAGAAGCAATAAAAGTAGATACACAGATAGATAAAAACTTTGTTTACCTCTATGACAGCTTATTATTATTTAAAAATAAAAAAATTTTAAAACAGAACAAAAGGAACGTACACATATCACACTACTATTACAATAGTGTTTTAACTCAAAAATGTGAAATTCAAGATTATGTCATTTCTGAACGTAAAATTTCCTTCTCTACATGTCATTAAAATTGTCATTAGAATATTGTAAGAAACCACTTAAATATATCTACTTAACCCAGAAATAGACAAACGTTTTGTGAGCTAGTTCAGGACAAAACAGTCCTTTCTCAAAAATATAATATTACTTTTCACTTATTTTTAAATATACTTCTATTTGGCAAGTACGAAATTGTTCAGATATCTAATAAATTTTAACCTATACATAAATCATAATAATGTTTCACGGGAACTGAGTAATTAGTTTTTCAGCTATTCTGAATAAATTCACATTTTGAGTTAATACACTATTGTATTAGCAGTGCGATATAAGTAATTAGAATAAATAGTTTTGGCAGTCATGGCATAACTGCCAGCGCCTTGTTAACACAGAGCGCTGGTTCAAGCTTAAATGCCGCAGTTTCCCACGACGCTGGTATTCTGCCAGAACCGTGTTAAAAGAGACGCCACTCATCTCAGACTGCTAAAGGTAACAGATAGAGGCATAGAGATGGCTGCTTATTGGTCCAAAGAAATATAGTGTAGGGTTAAGGAGATCTGCTAAAGACTTTGACTGTTGCAATTATATAATCAAAATTGTATGTATTAAGTGTATGATTTGTTGGTTGTTCTAAATAAATAAAATAAAAAATAAATAAAATACAATTGTGTTTGCACAAACAAATTAATTATACATCACTTACCTTAATCTTGACGTTGGGGACAACATTGACGAATCTTATTGGGAGGCCAGACATGATGAGCTCTGAAATCAAACATTTGACTTTGCAAAAACTGATATCACGGCTCAAAGTCTGCTAAATTTAAATAATTCTAGTTGTGTGTCTATAGCAGGATTTTGTATGTTCGGTATTATGCTAAAAGTTAAGAATTTTTGACAACAGGCACTGGACAGGGAAATCCTTAAGTCACTGAAGGAGGCTTACGTTGAAGGACAAACTGATGATGTGGAGATATTTCATTATATAAAAATGTTGCACACAGATATACTTAATAAATTCGCAACCCTCAAGAATGTTACAAGTGGAGTTAGATCAAAAATATTTATTGCTTCATTAGATACTGAAAAATATAACCCATATCCTCTCCAATTCTTGGGCTTATTCCCAGTTGTCACCGCTGCCTTTGTTCCCACTGGTGATAAATGGGAATGTTACCAGGTGGTGTCAAATGGGATAAAAAGATTTGTTGTTGCCACTGGCAGCAAACGGAATTTAAAATAACCCAGTAGTTGTCAGTGGTAAAAAAATTTAAGAATGAAGTGGAATAAGCCAATTCTTGTAACTCTATCTACAATATTACTCGATAGAGTTACAAGAATTGGAGAGGATATGGGTTATATTTTTGTGTATCTAATGGAGCAATAAACGTTTTTGACGTAACTCCACTTATAACATTCTTCTACGAGGGGTGCGAATTATGAGGCTATGTAACTGCCTGTGGCCGAACTATCATCATAATTTTCATGCTGGATTGCCATGCACGACCTATAAAATGGATGGAACTGTCGATGAATAGTGCTCCTTAACTCTAATTTTGAAAATTGCTAAGGATTTACTATCATGAACGGTAATGGGAAGTGCATTCCAAAGCCTGACCGCATGAACAGTGAACGAGTGAGAATAAAAACCGGAATTGAAAGAAGGAAAAGATAAGTGGGACCTAACGGGAGAACGACAGGGCTTATCCTGTGACCTGAGAAAACTGAAACGCTCTTTCAGGTTATTGCGTAATTTAATAATCCAAGGTAAAATACAAGGAAAGAGAGGTGTAGGAAGGAGATTATCCTGGCTCAGAAATTTGCGCCAGTGGTTCAATGGGAACACCCGATCATTATTCAGAGCTGCATTGTCCAAAGTTGAGATTGCAATTATGATCTCCAACCTTCATTAGAAGATGGCATAATTATGTAAAAGGAGAATTCTGCTCTACAATGGCTAGCCGATGGTGTAGTATACTAATAATTACTTGACATTAAAAAAAATATATTTAAACGAGATAAAAATTAAAATATTCATATGGTCGTATTCCAAAACTCTACTCAATGCTCAAGTCAGGATTTGAGCAGACTTGACTATGATTTCAAGCACTGGAAATACGACCCTAACGGCAAGGACTTGAGTATGATTTTCAGTGCTCACTGCAATACTCAAGTCCTGACTGAAGTCCTTCATTCAGGGCCTATGCATCCCCTCGTCACTGTGACCATTGACTGATCTATTGTGATCACCACTAATTACAGTGCAGAGCCAAGGCCGACAGCATTGAAGAACTGAAGGACTTTCCTGGCTCTGACAGATTTAATGTCCTCTGGGTGTTGAGTTAGTAAATGAACAGGAGGTTCATCCGCCTTGTGGCAGATTCTACATTCTCTATTGTCTCTCTGGACAATATTTGACATGTGCTTGTTTAAGCCACAATGCCCTGTTAAGGCTGTAGTGAGCATTCTTATGCCATTCTTGTCCAATGATAGAGCTCCTCTACAGTGTTTGGCACTGTATATTCATAGTAATTTCCATGGTAGTTTGAGTAAGGCAACTTTGACCATTATTGACTGAATTAGTGAATGCCATCACTGCCATTTCACTGACACTATTGAGACTAGATTTCAGCAGTATGACAAATATTATCATAAATCCAATATAATCTCGGAGGAATTACAATGACCAGTGTTTTCAAGAAATTAGCAGGTTTCCCAAATAAATGAAATAAAAATAAATAAATAGAATACAATAAAGATTCCTGAGGTTTAAAACTATAGTGAAACAATCTTTATACTAAAGGGTATTATACAGCTTCTTTGTATTTAGATATCAAAAATCTATGGTAGTGATCTGATTGGGTCTTGCAGGTTGTCTCAATCTATGTTGAAATAAATATTATACTGCCCTGCTAAGTCGAAAGGCACTATCTCTGAGATACACCCTTTTAGTTGTTTTTATACAATTCAATAAATAGAATAATTTTGCATCTATTGGTATAATAGAAATAGCGCTAACTTAAAACATTTAAAAAACCTCTAAGAAGTATTTTTATATCTCAATTTTTGAAACCTTTCTTTAAATCAAAGTTGTGGTATCTCACAAAATAGGCATAATGGTACAATTTATGGATAATTTAGGTATGTCAATAAATCTATTAGTCAAAAATACATATTTTATATTTATAATTATATTTATAAATAAGTTTTAATATCATTTACAAAAAGTAGATTTTCTCTAAAAGTACTCCGATTGCGATAACAGTTTTCGGCTTTTCAAGGCAGTATAAATGTATACAAATGTTTACTTACAAAGAGCAACCCCTAGAGTTTCTTGCTCATTCTTCTCAGGGAAATTTGACTTACTAATGAGTAGAAGAGTTATATCAATGTGTTGACGACAAGTGTAATTGTTTACTTATGAAATAAAGCTTATCAAAGATTGATTCAACATATTGGCATTATCATGCATTCTTAGGAAACTTAGTGGCACAATTCGAGAATTGGTGATGTTGGACGCCCAGTGGGCTAGAACCCAGTAACGCCATGTGGAGAGGTAAGAGAAGTAAGAGGCAAGCAAGCAGATGAGTCATTTGAGCCACACGGACATCTGCAACATCAGATGTGTTAGCCGTCTGAATTGCCAGTCTTTTGAGGGTCCTGTTGATACACTTTTTGAAGAATCCCATGTTATAATGCATAGGAAATACTTCAGGAGAAAGACCATTGAACATCTTCCAGGTTCGAGGAAGGGACGAACGTGGTACCCGCGTGGTCTTACAATGTCAGGCATCTACAATGCGGGGATGGGCACTACTCCTTTGGCGGGATGTGCGATGGTGGAAACATGACTGTGGCACCAGTTCGAAAAGTTACCCTGAGCGCTCCCCATTAAAAAGACAGTACAGAGAGACAACGTCTCTCGGTACAGGGACTCCCAAACGTAATTATCAAATGTAAATACACTTACATAAAAGATATTACCTGTATAGGTTGTGGTAGTAGTCGCAGAGAAATAACGAATATAGCAGGAAATGTAGAGAGGTTGTAGAGGATAACGCGCGAGGTTAGCGGGAAAAATCTTAACCTTAATAACTCACAGCTAAACACAAAGTAGATCCACACATGAAATAAACGCGAATACAAAATATCAAGCAAAATATACAAAAACATTCAAAAAATCATCCCGACAGCGGGAATATAGAAAAAAAATATAGAAAACATTACTTTTTTTAAAAAATGACCCTTGGCTTTGGAAACGATATACATAGAAAAAAATTAGGTGACTATTGATTTCTAACACGCAATAACCAATGTAAAATCACGATAAACCACATTTGTTGTATTCTTCACATAACGTACCAAATAAATACACAAAAACAGACAAATACATACAAATTCTTACCTCAAAAATTCAAGTTTCTTTCCGAGATTAGCGTTTGTTTTTTTTAATTAAAAAAAAAGAAACCAGAAAAAAGAAAAAATTAAAAAGTAGGAATTCGATGTCTTTTTCAAAAATCTGTCAAACTTATGTCAATATTTCGCCGCCCAAATAGATTTTATATAAACACTAAAACTCGTTTTTGAAATATCAGTAGAATAATTTCTATCACAGGCGTGGCTTCTCAATCGAAAATCGCGACGCCATTTTATGAGTGTGGCGTTCCGACCCGTGTCTATTTTTATTACCATCATACAAATACACAAGATCCTCGCTCAGTGTATCGTACCATAGTTTGTCTCTTTCCCACAATATGGTATTAAATAGTATTAATCTCTCTGTCTCTTTCCCATGTACTGAGTACGCATTCGATATTTTAATAATCTCACTATCATTGCCATAATCGCACGGTTAAGGAGATGCATGTTTTATCAATAAAGTTTGTTACTATGCAAAAAGTATTTTTAATCAGAAATTAAACTAATAATGGCAGCAAAAGCTACAACAATAAAAGAGGCAATAAAAAGGTGGGAGGAAAAAACTGGCCAGCAGGCTGCTACGGCTATAGACGTTACTTTAACTTTTCAATGGCCTCCAATAGAGAAAATGGATAATACTTTGTCTTGTCTTACTAATTGCGAGTAAGTATAGAAAAACATTGGCGTGGTGGTCTCAATTTTATTTTGGGGTCACTCTTTACACCTATTTAGTTTCTTAAGTTGGCTTTATGGCCAATGTTCAATAAATAAATACTAAAATAAATAACATGGAAACCATTGACCTACCAATTTACTTAATATAAGTAAATTGGTAGTAAAATGGTAAAAGTAAATTACAGTTAAGTCACTACTTACGCTACAAAATTATGTTAGCTTTTAATAATTCAAAATTTTTCAAATAAATATTTCTTACAGGAAATTAAGTTTATCAACGAATATGATTGAGAAGGCATCTGGTTTAAACAGTCTGAAGAAGCTTCGTATTTTATCTTTAGGTCGAAATTATATCAAGTCGTTTTCTGGGATGGTAAGAACCGGCACTAACGTAATTGTCGTAGGTATTTAGTTGAAAAAGGATTTTTATACTTGCCATCAAATGCCTCTCTATATTTATCTCCTCTCCTCGCTATATTTATCTTGTAGTCATTGCTTGCAAGGTTCATTTCTTCAAATTTTCATTGCATCCTTATTTCAACAACTTTAGTGCCTACTATTACCTACAACGTACATACACACAATATCTTAACCGCTCTTTAAAATATTTTGAACGGCCTCCATTCTCAAGAAATCTTTTTTGTCAAATCTACGTCTTGTAGAATCAACTGACTACGCAGTGATAGGCCGTGCTAAGTTTAAGTAGGAATTGTTTTAAACCTGCGTATCAGCATATGATACAATTATATGATTAAGCATACGAGTTTTGTGTACAATTATTTTTATTCTAATAAAAAAAATGGTAAAAATACATACATATACCACGGCTGTCAACGTGTGAGGTAAGCAGAGGTCTCGACTTAAAATGAACCGGGCATTAATATTTTTAACAACCTGTTGCTTTTTATTCTCGTTCGCAGGAAGCAGTCGGTGATACTCTAGAAGAACTATGGATCTCTTATAATTTAATTGAAAAACTTAAAGGTATTAATGTGCTGAGAAATTTGAAAGTCTTGTACATGAGCAACAATTTGGTGAAAGAATGGAGTGAATTTAACAAATTACAGGTAAACAGAAAAGTACATTAATTGAGAAAGGGTCAACATTATTTGTGGTTTCGTGAAACTTATTTAGATGCACCATTCCAAATACCAAAAACCGCCTAGGTACACACAAACGTGTGTCGGAGATCAATACCACAACCTTATGTTTACAATTCGGACATAGGTACTCTATCACCGAGTTGTTAAATTCAATTCAAATGTTTATTTCGGACAAATACCCATATTGTACTAGTAAAGTATTGCTTACAAATTGTCAAAATTTTCAAACTTTTTTATGATCTCAAGTCACAGGACGAATCAATCATACTCCGTGCTAAGTAACACGTTTAACTATAACAATTGCAGTGCCACTCACAGCTTTAAATCGCGAATATCCGAGGGGCACTGTGCTAGTCACCCTGAGATAATGAAAAAAATGGAAGTCTCAAGTGCCTGTAGTTTCACTAGCACCCTTATTTTCGAAACCAGAACGCAGTAATACTCATATTACTGCTTGGCGGCAGAAATAGGTATTACGGCAGTATTTCCCTGGACAAACCCTTCACTCGTACTCTAATTTATTACATACATTTCTTTATTCAGGAGCTTCCCCATCTCGAGGACCTTTTATTTGTTGGTAACCCGTTATACGACGGCTGTGAACTGGAACAATGGCGCGCGGAAGCTGCAAGACGACTGCCAAATTTAAAGAAATTAGATGGAGAAACAGTCTTGAGAGAAGATGACCCACCGTTGACAGTTGCTGATATGCAGGTGGCTAAACAATTGTTCATACAATTAAGCATAAAAATGTCATAATTAAATATTGAACTTTCGAAAGTTTGTAGCATTAAGCGTTTTGCAACTTTTATAGCATAAAACTGGTCAGTATTTTTAGCTTTTAATGCGTTTTTTTTTTCAGTTACATTTATACTCTATAAACCATTTATTTTATATTGTTTCATGGCTTATAATATCCCCGCTGGACTCATCGTACCACTAAGCACCGTACTACCAAATCGTAGTGCGATAATTATGAGTAAAACAATATCATAACCAACTGGTTACTAATAAATTTATTTGTTTCAGCCTGACAGTGGAGATGCGGTAGAAACTTTAGTCAGCGCTGAAACTAATGATTAATAATTTTAACGTGGAATAAGTGATGCTTAATGAATACTGGTGCTGCCCTCTGCAATGGTTGTCTGTGATAGCGAATTTAGAAGCGCTTCGCCTTAACGAGGAAGACAAATCACTGGCGCCACCTGGAAAGCGTTAGTTCCAAGAATAACCGCAATTCAAGAGCAGCGCGACGCCTCCATACATATTGTAATTATCTGCGTGCGATTGTTTCCAATTTCGGAATAGTCCGGAATACTTACTTTATGTAAATATATAGGCACAAAAAGCTAATAGAAAGGATTATAAAAATAACATTGTTTCGAAATCGTATATTTTTATGTTCACAAAAATTGGTAGATAAGTAGATTGACTTTATTTACATTCTTTTTCATACATTTAATAATAATTTTAATTTAGTTACTTAAGGATGCATTGTACTTGCACACGAAAAGGTTACAATAATATTTTAAAACACGAAATTGCAAATTATTGTATGAAAAATACAGAATAATTCAGCCAATAAAATTTTCCGCAATCAAATCTTGTGATATCAAAGTTATTCTATTGGTCAGTTTGAATTTCGAACTGCATACGTGATATTTAGGCAATGGAGTGGTCGTTTTGAATTTTGTTCAAAAACACTTCAATCTTTACAAGGCCTGCAAAGTGACAGTGTCGGTCTTCTCGTCGTTCCGTCGTCTGACAGGTGTCTTCAAATGAACAGTTTTGACGTGCAGCTTCATCGAGTTGGACTGACTGAAGGTCTTTGAGCAGAATTGGCAGGTATACGGTTTTGCACCTGTGTGGACCTGCGAAGGGAGAAAAATGACGTTTGTAATTTCTTTTTTTTTATTATCAAAAATTTTAAAATCATTTCGAGTTCTTAGGTTTTCGCGTTTGTTACACATAGGAAATGAAACTATTTTTCCGGATTTAAATCGCGTATTTTTGTTTTTTCAAACAAACCGACGTTTCGGGCCCTTTACAGGTCCCAGTCAACCGTGACCATGGGACGGTTTGTCTGAAAAAACAAAAATACGCGATTTAAATCCGGAAAAATAGTTTCATTTCCCATTTAAAATCATTTTTAAAAATTTTCAACATTTACGTATTTTTTTCATAATATAATTGTTATAATAATAATAATAATAATAATAATAAAAATATTTTTTTATTATTTCATATTATTCATTCCTATTTCATCCGTTAATTCCCTTATTTCTAATTATTTTTTATATTATTTTAATTATCGAGTTCTTAGGTTTTCGCGATTGTTACACATAGGAAATGAAACTATTTTTTTTTGACTGACAGTCAACCGGTCAACCGTGACCATGGGACCTGTAAAGGTCCCGAAACGTCGGTTTGTTTGAAAAAACAAATATACGCGATTTAAATCCGGAAAAATAGTTTCATTTCCTTATTTTAATTACTTGCGTATAATTGAATATTTTTTTCTTTACATAAACTGTGTACAATATAAGTGGGTAGTAGTCGCAAAGGGTTGGGCTGACAATGTTATTTTAAGTAAATGTGACTTT